CGCGCACCCTCGTTAGCGCCCTCGCGCGCCCCTTCGTTAGCGCCCTCGCGCGCCCCTTCGTTAGCGCCCTCGCGCGCCCCTTGCTAGCGCCCTCGCGCGCCCCTCCCAGCGCCCTCGCGCGCCCCTCGCCGAGCCGCCCGCTCGCAGCCCGCCCGCCCGCTCGCTGCCCGCTTCGCGGCCCGCTCACTACGCAGCCCGCCCGCCCGCTCGCTGCCCGCTTCGCGGCCCGCTCGCTCGCTGCCCGCTTCGCGGCCCGCCCGCTTCGCAGCCCGCTCGCTCGCTGCCCGCTTCGCGGCCCGCCCACTTCGCAGCCCGCCCGCCCGCTCGCTGCCCGCTTCGCGGCCCGCCCGCCTCGCAGCCCGCTCGCCCCGCTGCCCGCTTCGCGGCCCGCCCACTTCGCAGCCCGCCCGCCCGCTAGCTGCCCACTTCGCGGCCCGCCCGCATCGCAGCCCGCTCGCCCCGCTGCCCGCTTCGCAGCCCGCCCGCCCGCCCGCTGCCCGCTTCGCGGCCCGCCCGCCTCGCAGCGTCGCCCGCCCGCCGTGCTGCCCGCTTGCAGCGCCGCCTGCCCGCCGCGCTGCCCGCTTCCCGGCCCGTCCGCCGCGCTGCCCACTCGCAGCGTCGCCCTCCCGTCGCGCTGACCGCTTGCAGCGCCGCCTGCCCGTAGCGCCAGCCTCGCCCGCTGCTCTCTATCCGTGCACAGTCGCCTTCCCCTGCTGCGGCAGCTTGCGTTACTCTGTCACACTGTCGCTATGGCTTCCATCCGCGTGCTGTCGTTCGATGCTGAGGGCCGCCCTGTGCGGTTCACCGCTTGGCTAGATGACCTGCAGCTGTTCCTCCTGAGCGATAGCAAGGAGCATGTGTCGCTCTATGACTACGCGTCTGGTGCTGCGCCTGCCCCTCCTGCCACAGCTGAGCTTAGTGTTCGTTCCCACTGGCAGACTCGTGACGCAGCTGCTCGCCTAGCCATTCGCAGTCACCTGCCGTTAGCTGAGCTAGAGCATTTTGGCGACTGCAAATCCGCTAAGGCCCTGTACGACGCTGTCGTCACTCGCTACTCCTCGCCTGCCACAGCCGAGCTTAGCCGCCTCATGCTGCCGTACCTGTTCCCCGATCTGTCCACCTTTACTACAGTCGCCGATCTTATCACCCACCTTCGCACTAGTGATGCTCGCCTGCGTGCCGCCCTTCCCACCGAGTTCTGCGCTAAGAACCCCCCTCCACTGTACTGGACACTCCACTTTATAGTCACTCGTCTCCCTGACACCCTCCGCTCAGTTCGAGACCACTTCCTTGCTCGCTGTCCCACTGAGCTCACAGTCGCCCTCCTAGAGGAGCACCTGCTCGCGGCCGAAAAGAGCATTGTAGCTGTCGGTGCTGCTCGTGGCGCTCCTCGCACCCCCATCTTTGAGGGGTGTTCTCCCTCTCCCCTCGCTCCCTCCTACGCTGCTGCTGCTGCTGTTGACTTCCTTGGTGCTGAGTCTGTTGGCGCTGCTTCTGCTCCTGGTGGGAGGCGCCGCACCGGCAAGGGCAAGGGGGGCAAGGGTGGTGGTGGTGGCGCTGGGGGGGGAGGAGGTGGGGGAGGTGGGGGGGGAGGCGGTGCTGGAGGGAGCGGTGGCGGGAGCGCTGGTGGGAGTGGGGTCGGTGGTGGAGACGGGGGCGGCGGAGGAAGCAGTGGCAGTAGTGGCGGCGGCGGCAGTGGCGGCGGTGGCGGTGGTGGCGGTGGTGGCGGTGCCGGTCGGAGCGGTGGTAGTGGTGGCGGCGGAGGTCGGAGTGGAGGCACTGGCTCGGGCCAGAGCTCCCAGCAGCAGCAGCGTCCCCAGACGACCCAGCAGCTTCGTGAGTGGCTTGCTCAGCGTGGGACGTCGGGGGCCAGTGCCCGCTGTTCTTATGTCATTCGCACAGGTGACCGCAAGGGACAGACGTGTGGGAGGTTCCACACCCCGTACCGCTGCTTCTCCCGCCTTGACGACGCTTGGCGTGAGGAGATGGGTGCGGATGTTGAGCGCCCCCGCTGGGCTGAGCTCATGAGGGCTGGTGTTGATGTCTTTGCTCTTGACTATGATGCTATTATTGCTGCCATGTATGCATTGACTGTTAGTGCCGAGGGAGACTGTTACTTGTGTGTGCCGCCTGACCCAGGTATAGAGCCCGCTGCCCTGGGTACTAGTGAGTCTGCTCTCTCTGGTATGGTACCCCCTGTACTTGCTCCCCCCAGTGCTGTCCCGGCTGGTTTCGAGTCTGCTCTCTCAGGTACAGCACCCACACAGACTCCTCTCTCAGGTACCGCACCGGCTGAGGCCTGTCACACCTTCACCCTTGACTCAGGTGCTTCCCGTTGCTTCTTTCGTGACAGTACTGAGCTCACACCGCTTCCTGCACCGGTCCCAGTCTCCTTGGCTGACCCCTCTGGGGGCCCAGTCCTTGCCCAGTCCACCACTGTCCTCCCTTGTCCGGCGGTTCCGTCTGGCTCGTTGTCGGGTTTCCACCTCCCCTCGTTCTCGACGAACCTGGTGAGCAACGCTGTCCTCCAGGATCAGTGGGTTGACACCTTTACCCCTGGAGGACAGCGTGTGGCGATCTGCACGTGCTCCAGGACCGGCCGTCACCTGGCTACGTTTACCCGTCGGCCGGGGTCGAGTCTCTACACACTGACCACTGCGTCTCCTCAGGTCGCTGCTGTCGGTCAGGTGTCTGCGTCAGGTCTGGTAGCCCACGCCTGTGAGTGTCGTTCCCTGTCGCACCAGACTCTTCTCTGGCACCACCGCCTGGGTCACCCCTCCTTGCCACGCCTTCGTGGCATGCACCGTCGCCACCTTGTGTCTGGTCTTCCCAGGTCCCTCCCTCCCCTCCCTGCCTCGCCTGCGCCGCCTTGCCTTCCTTGCGTCGAGGGGCGGCAGCGCGCCGCTCCTCACTCCTCCTCGTTCCCCCCGACAGAGGCTCCTCTGCAGACCCTCCACCTGGACGTGTGGGGCCCAGCCCGCGTTCGTGGTCAGGGCGGTGAGCGGTACTTTTTGCTGGTTGTCGACGACTACTCGCGTTACACCACGGTCTTCCCCTTGCGCACCAAGGGTGAGGTCCCTGCTGTTCTGATCCCTTGGATCCGCACAGTTCGTCTCCAGCTCCGCCGCCGTTTCCGGACGGATCTTCCTGTCCTGCGTCTGCACTCTGACAGAGGTGGTGAGTTTTCCTCCGACCTCTTGAGGACCTTCTGTCAGGCGGAGGGCATCGAGCAGACCTTCACGCTTCCGGACTCCCCACAGCAGAATGGGGTTGCTGAGCGCCGCATTGGCCTGGTCATGGAGGTCGCTCGTACCTCCTTGGTCCACGCGGCGGCTCCCCATTTTCTGTGGCCGTTTGCTGTCCGGTACGCCGCGCATCAGCTCAACCTCTGGCCCCGTGTCTCCTTGCCGGAGACCTCGCCCACACTGCGTTGGACGGGGGAGGTTGGCGATGCGTCGCGCTTCCGGGTGTGGGGTGCTCGCGCCCTTGTCCGCGATACGTGTCTTGGACAAGCTCTCCTCCCGCACGCTTCCCTGTGTCTTCCTTGGCTTTGTCCCTGACGCGCCTGGCTGGCAGTTTTACCACCCCACCTCGCGCCGGGTCTTCGCCTCTCAGGATGTCACCTTTGACGAGTCGGTCCCTTTTTACCGTCTCTTCCCCTACCGCACTGCCCCCCTCCCTCCCCCGCCGCTTTTCCTTGCTCCTGGTCCCCCTCCGGTAGACCCCCTTCCCCCTCAGGGTCCTGCTCCTTCAGGTGTCTCTCAGGTAGACCCTCCTCCCGTCGCTGAGCCTGTCGAGGTCACAGGTGACTCAGGTGCTGCTGCAGGTGGTACTGCTGGGAGTGCTGAGCCTGGGGGTGCTGAGCCTGCGGGTGCTGGGCCTGGGAGTGCTGGGACTGCGGGTACTGGAGCTGAGGGTACTGTGCCTGAGAGTTTGCCGCCTGGGGGTGCTGAGCCTGGGGGTGCTGCGACTGGGGGTGCTGAGCCTGCGTGTGCGGAGTCTGGGGGTACTGAGCCTGCGGGTACTGAGCCTGCGGGTACTGAGCCTGGGGGTACTGCTACTGAGCCTACGGAGCCTCGGGTTACTGCGTCTGGGGGTGCTCCGGTTCGGGGTACTGAGCAGTCTCTCACACCGCAGCAGCTTCGTGACTGGTACGTCCGGCGCTTTCGCCGTCCTAGTGGCTCGGCTGGAGTTTGGGGTCCTGGGGGTGCTCGTACTGGGGGTACTGGAGCTGCCGGGACTGGTTGTTCTGGGAGCACTGCGACTGGAGCTGCTGGAGCTGGGGACTCTGGCGCTGGCGGTGCTAGCGGAGTTGGAGCTGCCGACTCTGGGGGTGGCGCTGCTGCTGGTGCTGCGGACCCGCCTGGTGGAGCTGCTGCTGGAGCTGAGGACCCGAGCGGTGGCGCTGCTGCTGGTACTGGGGACCCGGACGTTGGAGCTCCTGCTGGTCCTGAGGACCCGGCCGCTGGAGTCTCTTCTGCTTCTGGAGACGCTGTGCGGCCGCGACCGTACTTCGTACCGCTCCTTCAGCAGGTTCTTGGGCAGGCTCCTCCTCCTTGTCCTCCTCCCTCCGTAGAGTGTCCTCCGCCTGTCCAGCCGCAGTCACAGTTACCGCCTGCCTCGCCTCTCCCTGCTCCCTCTCCTTACACTGGTCCCACAGGAGGTCTTACAGAGCGTCGTGAGCCTGAGTCTCGTCCTGCGTCGCCTGTTCGTCCTGCTCGCACTGGTAGTCGTGTCCGTCGTGAGCGTCCTCCTCCTGTCCCAGGCACTCACTACATGACTCTGCGTCCCTCTACTGCTCCTCGGCGTGTCCCTCTACCGTCTCCTCCTGCGTCCTCTTTGCCTGCCGTTCCGGACCCTGAGTCTGACCGGTATCGCGCTGAGCACCCTACAGTCACGCGTCTCCTAGCTACTGTTGTCACTGACCCTACCTTTGAGTCCTCGGCTGCGTCTGCTCTGGTCGCTGAGTTGGTTGACTTTGCTGCTGCCTGTCGTCTAGACTACGCTGCTAGCCTTGTTGCTGAGCCTGCGTCTGCGTCTGTCTGTCCTCCGTCCGTCGGGGGTGAGTGTGCTCTTGGCGGCAGCGACGTGTCTGTGCGCAGAAACAGCGACGGGTCAGCAGTAGACGGCGCGAACCCAAGAGCCGCAAGTGTAGTCCTCAGTGTGTCGTGCCACTCACGTGGCGCCTGGCGGAGACCGTAGACTGGCCGGCGGAGACTCCACTGGGTACCAGGGGGAAAAGACCCAGTAAAACCAGGTGGGCGGCGCAGCCAGATCTCCTCGTGCAGGCTGCCCTGCAGGAACGCTGTGCTGAAGTCAAGAGAGTGAAGCTCGTAGTCACGCTGAGCAGCAACGTGCAGCAGAACCCGAAGAGTGGTCATCTTCGGGGTGGGGGAGAAGGTCTGGAAGAAGTCGACCCCCTGACGCTGACTGAAGCCTCTAGCAACGTAACGAGCCTTGAAGACAGGCGGAGAACCTGGCGGCCGCTTCACCCTGAAAATCCACATGCCATCGACGATGTTCGCCCCAGGAGGGGGAACCTCGTCGACGTAGGTGCCTGTGGACTTCCAGGATGCCATCTCTGCGTCCATGGCTGTCTGCCACTGAGAGGAGTAGGGACCCGAGATCGCCTCTGCGTAAGTGCGCGGAGTGGGGATGTCTAGTGCATCCGGGTCTCCCTCAGGGGCAAGCAACCAGGCCACGAGATGAGGTACAGCAGCCGCAAGAGAGTCAAAGTCCTCCTGCCTGTCCTCAAGGACGTCCGTGCCAAGAGCACACTCACCCCCGACGGACGGAGGACAGACAGACTAAGACTCAGCAACAAGACTAGTGGCGTAGTCTAGACGACACGCAGCAGCAAAGTCGACAAGCTCAGCGACTAAGGCAGACGCAGCAGCAGACTCAAACGACGGGTCAGTGACGACTGTAGCTAGAAGACGCGTGACCGTAGGGTGAGCAGCATGAATAGCGTCAGACTCAGGGTCCGGAACGTCAGGAAGAGAGGACGCAGGAGGAGACGACAGTGGGACGCGCTGGGGAGCAGAGGAGGGACGAAGTGCCATAGTGTGAGTACCTGGCACAGGAGGAGGACGCGGACGCGGGACTCGACGAGCACGGCGAACAGTGCGAACAGGGGAGGCAGGACGAGACTCAGGCTCACGACGCTCTGTCAGGGACTCTGGCTGCTCTGTGTAAGGAAGGGTGGCAGGCAGCGGTGAGTCCGGAGGAAGGGCAGTGGACGAAGGAAGACTAAGAACCTGACGGAGCACCGACTCGGGCGGAAGCTCGGACAGCTGCGGCGACGGTAAGAAAAACGGTCGCTGCTGCACGGAACCTCCAGCTCTAGTGCCTCTAGCTCCAGTGCCTCTAGCTCTAGCGTCTCCAGCTCTAGCGCCTCCAGCTCCAGTGCCTCCAGCTCCAGCGCCTCCAGCTCCAGCGCCTCCAGCGCCAGTGCCTCCAGCTCCAGCGCCTCCAGCTCCAGTGTCTCCTACTCCAGTGCCTCCAACGCAAGTGCCTCCAGCTCCAGGACCTCCAGCGTCAGTCGCTCTAGCTCCAGTGCCTCCAGCTCCAGTGCCTCCAGCGACAGTGCCTGCAGCTCCAGCGCCTCGAGCACCAGTGCCTCCAGCTCCAGCGTCTCCAGCTCCAGCGCCACTAGCGCCTCCAGCGCCAGCACCTCCAGCTCCAGTGCTCCCAGCTCCAATAGCGCTGCGCCGGAGGCGAGTGCGCTGAGCTAGCCACTCGCGCAGCTGCTGTGGTGGGAAGGGCTCCCGCTGGGGAGACCGCTGAAGTGAGGCACCAGTAGACCAAGCTCCACGAGGCTCAACACCCCCAGGCTCAGCACCCCCAGGCTCAGTACCCCCAGAAGCAGCACCCCTAGGCTTAGCACCCCCAGAAGCAGCACCTGCAGGCTCAGCACCCCCAGAAGCAGCACCCCCAGGCTCAGCACCCACAGGCTCAGAACCCCCACAAGCAGCACCCCCAGGCTCAGCATCTGGGTCACCAGTGACCTCGACAGGCTCAGCCAAGGGAAGTGGGTCTACCTGAGACACACTTGAAGGAGCAGGACCCTGAGGGGGGAGGGGGTCTACCGGAAGGGGAACTGGAGCGAGGAAGAGCGGGGGGGGGGGGGGGGGGGGAAGAGGGGCAGTGTGGTAGGGGAAGAGACGGTAAAAGGGAACCGACTCGTCAAACGTGACGTCCTGAGAGGGGAAGACTCGGCGCGAGGTGGGGTGGTAAAACTGCCAGCCAGGCGCGTCAGGGGGAAAGCCAAGGAAGACGCAGGGAACAGCGCGAGAGGAGAGCTTGCCCGCGGTGGACTCGCGGACAAAGACACGGGAACCCCAGACTCGGAACGCGGACGCATCGTCAACCTCCCCCGTCCAACGAAGTGAAGGCGAGGTCTTCGGCAAGGAGACACGGGGCCAGAGGTTGAGCTAATGCGCGGCGTACCGGACCACAAACGGCCACAGAAAATGGGGAGCAGCCGCATGGATCATGGAGGTACGAGCGACCTCCATGACCAAGCCAATGCGGCGCTCAGCAATCCCATTCTGCTGCAGGGAGGCCGGAAGCGTGAACGACTGGTGAATGCCCTCCTCCTCACAAAAGGACCTCAAGAGGTCGGAGGAGAACTCACCACCCCTGTCAGAGTGCAGACGCAGGACAGGAAGGTCCGTGCGGAACCGCTTGCGCAGGTGGAGACGTACAACTCGGATCCAAGGGATCAAAACAGCAGTGACCTCACCCTTGCTGCGCAAGGGGAAGACCGTGGTGTAACGTGAGTAGTCGTCGACAACCAGCAGAAAGTATCGCTCGCGGCCCTGTCCCTGGACGCGGGCTGGGCCCCACACGTCCATGTGGAGAGTCTGCAGAGGAGCTGTCATCGGGGGAAACGAGGTTGAGTGAGGAGCAGCGCGTTGCCGCCCCTCGACGCAAGGAATGCAGGGCGGGGCAGGCAAGGGTGGGAGGGAAGGCAGAGACATGAGAAGACCAGAGACCAGAAGGCGAGAGTGCATGCCACGAAGGCGTGGCAGGGAGGGGTGACCAAGGCGGTGGTGCCAAAGGAGAGTCTGGTGCGACAGGCGGCGACACTCACAGGGGGCTGCTACCGGACCTGACGAGGATACCTGAGCAGACGCAGCGACCTGAGGCGGCGCAGTAGTCAGTGTGTACAGACTCGACCCAGGCCGACGAGTGAACGTGGCCAGGTGACGGCCAGTCCGAGAGCATGTACAGATTGCCACACGCAACCATCCAGGTGTAAAGGTATCAACCCCTGCATCCTGGAGGACTGCGTTGCTCACCAAGTTTGTCGAGAACGAGGGGAGGTGGAGACCGGACAGGGAATCGGACCGAATGGCTGGGCACGGGAGCACAGTAGAGGAGCGTGCAGGAACTAGGCCCCCAGAGGGGTCAGCCAGGGAAACTGCAACAGGCCTGGTGAGTGGTGTGACTGTGGTACTGTCGCGAAAGAAGCAGCGAGAGGCACCCGAGTCATGCGTGAAGGTGTGCAAGGCCTCAGCAGGCGCAGTACCAGAGAGAGCAGACTCACTAGCACCTAGAGCAGCAGCCTCTATACCAGGGTCATACGGCGCACACAAGTAACAGTCACCCTCAACACTAGTAGACAGAGCATACATGCCAGCAATGATAGCATCACAGTCTAGATATCAACACCAGCCTTAAGCAGCTCTGCCCAGCGGGGCAGCTCATTCTCCTCGCCCATCTCCTGGGGCGAAGCGTTGTCTAGGCGGGAGAAGCAGCGGTGCTGGGTGTGAAACTTCCCGCACGTCTGACCAGCGCGGAGACCTGTGCGAATAACGTGTGGGCAGCGACCACTACCACCATCCCTAGATGCCGTACGCTGAGCAAGCCACTCACGAAGCTGCTGGGGCGAGAGGGTCTCACGCGGACGCTGCTGCTGCTGCTGCTAAAATGCGCAAGAGCGATCACCACCGCCGCCGCTGCCACCACTCCCGCCGTTGCCACCACTCCCGCCGCTGCCACTCCCGCCACCACTGCTCCCACTGCCATTACGACCACTGCCACCACCACCCCCGCCGCCGCCGCCACCTCCGCCGCCGACGCCCCCACTCGCTCCACCACTCCCACCGCCCTCTCCACCACCTCCGCCTCCCCCCTCCCCCCCCCCCCCCCCCCCCCCCCCCCCCGCCGCCACCCTCACCACCCTTGCTCCCCTTGCCCTTGCTGCTGCGGCGCTTCCCACTAGGAGCAGAAGCAGCACCGACCTCCTCAGCACCAAGGAAGTCGACAGCAGCGGCAGAGGCAACAGAGGGGGCGAGGGGGGAGGGGGAGCACCCCTCAAAGAAGGGCGTGCGAGGGGTGCCACGGGTAGCACCTACAGCGACTATGTTAGCTTCAGCTGCAAGAAGGTGCTTCCCTAGCAGATCGATAGAGAGGTCTGTGGGGGGGAGAGCGAGAAGGGTGTCCCGGACTGCAGTAAGAGAGTTTGGGAGGCGTGTCACTATAAAGTGGAGAGTGATATAGATCGGGGGCTTGTTCTTGGGCAGGAACTCGGGAGGGAGGGCAGCACGGTAACGAACGTCCATAGTGCGAAGGTGGGAGAGGAGATCATCGACAGTGGCGAAGGAGGACAGGTCAGGGAAAAGGTAGGGCAGGAAGAGGCGGCTAAGCGCTGCAGTGGCAGGGGAAGAGTAGCGGGCAACTACAGCATCGTACAGGGCCTTAGCAATTTTCGCCTGGTCAAAATGCTCGCATTCAGCTACCCGCAAATGGTTGCGAATGGCTAGGCGAGCAGCAGCATCGCGGGTAAGCCACTGCGAGCGAGTCGTCGCGTCAGCTGAGGCTGGTGGGGCAGTGGAGGTACCAGCTGCTAGGTCATAGAGCGAAACACCGTCCCTAGCGTCGCTCAGCAGGTACAGCTGCAGGTCCTGGAGCCAGGTTTCGAATTTGACCGGGCGGCCGTCAGGATCGAACGAGAGAATACGCAGAGTGGCCATAGTTTAGCAGCTCAGTAGTAGGGCAGGGCAGAGGCAGCGCAAGGGCTGCAGAGGTTGCAAGCAGGCAGCAAGGGCGGAGCGCCAGGCTGCAAGGGCGGCGCACAGGTCAGAGCAGAGGCAGCGCGAGGGCTGCAGAGGCAGGGTGCGGGCTGCAAGGGCGGCACGCGGGGTGGGGCAGAGGCAGCGCGAGGGCTGCTAGGGCAGGGCGCGGGCTGCTTGGGGCTGCGCGCGGGGTGGGGCAGAGGCAGCGCGAGGGCTGCTGGGTCAGGGCGCGGGCTGCTAGGGCTGCGCGCGGGGTGGGGCAGAGGCAGCGCGAGGGCAGTCGGGGCCCGCACGTGGCTGGAAACGGCAGCACGCGGGCTGCAGGGGCTGTGCGCGGGGCAGGAAAGGCAGGGGGCAGGCTGTTGGGGCGGCGCGCGGGGCAGGAAAAGCACCGCGCAGGCTGCTGGGGCGGCGCGCGGGGCTGCAAAGGGCTGCGCGCGGGTTGCGAATAGGCGACGCGCGGGCTGCAGGGGCGACGCGCGGGACTGCAAGGGTGGCACGCTGGACTGCAGGGGCGGCGCGTGTGGGCGGTACAGGGCAGGGTAGGGCATAGGGTAGCGCAGTAACCAGTAACCCTAAAAACAATTGGTCCTATGGACCTACTGCTCTGATAGCATGCTAAGAAAGTTAGGTAAGAATGGTTGAACTAGGAAGCATTGGGATACAAATATGTGAACCCTAGAGAGTTGTACCCCTTAGTGGCTACCCCACTATAGCCTACACAATATGCATAACATATATGTTTGACAAGTTTGTTTTTTGCTGACAACACTGATTTTTCAGCGTTTTTTTCTCTAAGGGACCCTGATAGAAAGTTTTTTTTTTCCATGGACCAACACTGACGAGAAAGCGTGGCCCAAAACGAATCTGAGGCCCTGCGCGGAAGGCGTGGGTTCAATGCTAGGAAGGACACTCAGAGTTGGAAAAATAGGTACACTGACTGTCCAGGTTTTTGTTATTTTTTTAAGAAGTAAAGTTTTGCTCTGACAAATTAGAGTATCGCTCATGATCAACCCTGATTTTCAGAGTTTCCAAAAAAACAACTCTGAAAATCCGATTAGTGAAAATCAAAAAAAGAACCCTGGTTTAGGCCCACTCCAGGCCCTCAGATTCCTTTTAGGGCTGTCTGATTCGTCAGACTTGGCACACTTTTTTAGTCTGATCAATCAGAGTTGGTAAAAAAAAAAAAAACAAAAAAAAAAAACTGAAATTTCAGAGCAGGAATGGATGAACTATCAAAAGGTTTGGTACAAGTACTAACCCTAAACTGGGTTGTACCCCATATAGGCTACCCCAATACAGCCTACAACAACACAACATTCTAACGTACCCCCATAGGCAAGGTGGGGGAGCACAAGTAGTCACAGACAAGCAAAGCAAGCTCAGGGTGGATCACGAAGTCACCACACATTCTGAGCACAAGCAAAGGGCCACAAGGCCAGTCCACATGCAGAGTTATATAAAACAAAGCAAACAGTACTGCGATCACAACCTAGCAAGAGTAAGCATGCAAGAATATATAGAAAACACACTACAAGCAAGGTCACGCAGTAACTAAGTGAGAAAACGTAGGCACGAGGCCTAAAGCAGTACAGAGACGCTGATGATCACCAAGCGGAAGTGCCTTGGTGAATATATCAGCTGTGTTGGCCCGAGTGGCCACGTAAGCAAGACGAAGCTGGCCACGCTGCTGCAACTTTCGAGCAAGGAAGTAACGCAGAGTGATATGTGCTTCGTTCTGTGCTCCAGTCTGTGCTCCTAACACAAGGCAATGGCAGCCTTGTTGTCTACGTACAGAACTGGAGGAGAAGTACGCCGCTCTCCCAAGTCAGTCAGCAGGTAGGTGAGCCAGCGTAACTCCTGTGCAGCCATGGCTCCTGCGTAGATCTCAGCCTCACAACTGGAGCTAAGAACAGAAGACGAGCGGGTAGACCGCCACGAGACAGAGTCGGAACTAAGGCTGAATGTGTAACCCTATAATGACCGCTGCGTAGCCAGGTCGTCAACCCAAGAGGCGTCTGAGTGTCCAGTGAGGACAACTCGACCCCGTCCTCCAAGCACCAGCCCCATGCCCGATGTACTGCACAAGTAGCGCAGCACCCTCTTAGCAGCCTCCCTGTGCTCTCGCCGGAGGGTACGCAAGGTCAGGTCGTGTGCAGGTCATCAGGTACATGAGGCAGCCCACAAGCTCTGGATATGGGCCACTCGGCTCTACGGACTCATCCAAAGGCAGAGCTGAGAGCGAGTGACTCGTAGGCAGAGGAGTGGACTGTGGTGAGGAGAACTGGAAGCCGAAGCGCTGAAGGACCTGCTGCACCATGTGTGACTGAGTCAGGGTGATGGTGCGGCGTGCTCTGTCCCAGGTGATCTGCAAGCCAAGGTAGCTACGCAGCTCACCCAGGTATGTGCAAGTATATCTCTTCTGCAGCTCCGACTTCACAAGGGCAAGTGCCTCGGTGTCAGCAGTGGCAAAGACCAGGTCGTCGACGTACACGAGGATGTAGAATGGCGGCAGTGAAGTGTCGGTGCGCAAAAACAGCGACGGGTCAGAAGTGGAGAGAGCAAACCCAAGAGCCGCAAGTGTCGTCCTCAGTGTGTCGTGCCACTCACGAGGCGCCTGGCGGAGCCCGGCGACTGGCCGCCGGAGGCTCCACTGGGTACCTGCAGGAAACGACCTAGTGAAGCCAGGTGGGCGGTGCAGCCAGATCTCCTCGTGCAGGCTGCCCTGCAAGAAAGCTGTACTGAAGTCAAGAGAGTGAAGCTCGTAGTCACGCTGAGCGGCAACGTGCAGCAGCACCCGAAGAGTGGTCATCTTCGGGGTGGGGGAGAAGGTCTGGAAGAAGTCAACTCCCTGTCGCTGACTGAAGCCTCGAGCAACGTAACGAGCCTTGAAGACAGGCGGAGAACCCGGCGGCCGCAGTTGCTGCCGTGCTCGATCATGATCAGGATGTACCTTTTCCCCCTTCGACTCAACGACGTCTCTCCCGCTAGGTCTAACAACCACCGGAACCCAATCCCATGGATCGGAAGGGACTGCATCTCCTCCCTTCCCCGCTCTAGCTCCGCCTTGTTCCGGCTTCATAGCTCGCATGACTCTACCCATTCTCATTCCTTCCTACCACCAGCCTGTCTCTACGAGTTGCACTGTCCTCAAACTCCCGTAGTGTCCCAGCTGACAGTACACTCTCTACATAACCAGTGCCCGCTCACTCTTCCTCGGTACCAGGTTCCACCCATTCCGGGTGTTCTTCTGAAGTTGATCTTGATGCCATCGGCAATGGGCTTCCCGCGCTCTGTCCCTCTCACTCACGAGAGACGCCTCTGTCGTCTTTCCTTGCACCCAGTCAATGACTTCCGGATCATCCCACACATCCTCTAGCCCTCTCATCCATGCCCAGCCTACTCCCTCCTCATCTATCTCCCTTGTCAACGCCACCAGACACGCTGTCGGTCTATCGGGGGGTGGGTTCCGTGAGAGCCCGTCGACATGTTGCATGGTTTTCCCCGCCCTGTGTCTAATCGAGAATTGTACTCCTACAGCCGCATCGTCCACAGAGCGTTCCTCCCCGTCAAGGCCTGTTTCATTATCAGCCAGGTCAGAGGTTGATGGTCCGTAACGAGCTCAAAAGCCCTCCCTTGCAGGTACACCCGAAAATGAGTGATTGCCCAAACCGCCGCTAGTCCCTCCCCTTCGTAAGAGCTGTATTTAGCCCCTGCTGGATTGCAGCTGCGGCTGGAAAACGCCACTACCTTCTCTTCACCTTCTCTCTTCTGGCACAAAATCGCTCCCCTCCCTGCACTGCTCTAGTCCGTATAAAGCACGAACGGGTCTTCTTTGTTAGGCAGTGTCAGCACGGTGGCGGTCTTGACGGCTTTAAGCAGCGCCTTCAGGGCTCCCTCCTCGGCTTCCCCCCACTGTAATTTATCGAAAATCTCTTTGGCCGACTGCATGGGGTACCGATCCGCCACGGTGACTTTATTTAACCCCCGGTAGTCTCCGCACATTCTCCTTGCCGAGACTACGCCAGTCAAATCCTTTCAGGATGCTACAACCGTCGCCGTTGCATAATCGCTTTCGGACCGTTGGATCAGCCCGGCCGACATCAATTCCTCGCATTTCTCCATGCAAATATCCACGTCTCCCGGACTCATCCGCCTTTTCCGGTGATATATCGAAACCTCGCTGGTGAGCTCAATCTTCATCTCCTGCCTCAGCACCGCTTGCATCGCCGCTGTTGTCTCTCCTTCCATCCCTTCTCCCCCACCGCCACTGGTTCCTCTCCAGTAGCCTTTTCTTTCCCCTCTACCGCCATGTACGCCCATCCCTCTTCTACTTGCTCCTTGTATCTCTCTTCCATTCCTGCCAAGACTTCCGCTGCCACTCCGCTGTCTCGAACTCCATGTTCCGTTTACTAGCCGCTATGTCTCGCTGCAACTCCTTCAACTTTAGATGCATCCGGATGGTCTCCAGTAGCCATGTCATCACGTTGACATCCATGGCCCGGCCCAAGGCAGCTCTGCGCTGCCACTCAGTCACTTCGGGATGTGCAGTCGCTCCCCACAGATGTCACATAGCGGCCTCCCTCTCGTTCGTCGTCGGCTGCTCTCACCTCCCTTCCCTGGCGTCGTAAATCATTCCATGCCCGGGGAGTTCTCTCTCCATGACAAACCCCCGAGCTTCCTTATACGCCACCAGCGTTGGTAGCGCTTGCCGCGACTTGCCGGGCTCGTTGTATTGGTACTGTGACGGGTGATCAGGGCAGGTGACGGGGGCCGGCATGCGATTCAGCTCCAAGATGCCGCTCACCAGGCGAGGCTCGGGCCTCTGCATCTAGGCCAGGGAATGCCTCCGCGCTGCTGTTGACACCCCATTCTACCAGTACCTCCGGGGACGGTGTGCTCTGGAGCCCAACTGAGCTGCGTTCGCCGGCACTCCCCTTCCCAGCACCTCCACTATCTCTGCGAAAGCCCGCTTCACTGGTTCTCTTCGGTCCTCGGCCAGATCCACATTTTTAAGAATGTACAAGACTCCCCCTTGCCGCTTCCGTATCATCTCTAATACCCGCTTCAAGTCCCGAAGGGACGCTCCCCTCGCGTCTTCCATGCCCATCCCTTCTCCTGCCCGAGAGTACCCTTGGCACTCCCACCCCGCTATTACCAGGTCTATCTGCCCCACTCATCCAGCACCCACTCCGTGATCTCTCGAACGTCGTACACAGCTACCTCCGATTCTGGCGGAATGGTTTCTTCCCACAACTGGTCTGGATACTCTTCTGCAAGTAGCAGCACGTGGTGTTGAGCATCTTCCAAACCACTGGGTCCTTTTTCACGTGGATCCACTTCTTGACGAGGCACCCTGCCCGAAGTGCCGTTGCTAAACCACTACCGATTCCGCCGTACAGTTCGACAATGCAGATGGACCTCTCCAGAGTCCACACCTTGTTTATCCTCTCCGTTAGTGATGCAAGCTCTTGTCCTGCTAACCGGCGCTTGACCCGCTACTCGTACTCTTCCCCATACCGCTCTTAGGCCCACTAGTCCAGCTCTTCTGTCAGTTCCTTCTTCTGTGCGCAATACGCTTCCTTTGGCTCCTTCCTTACAAACCGCACCGGCAGACTGCCCACGGAGCTCTCTTGATCCCAATACTGCACTCGACGCATGACCTTCTTCTGTCAGGCACAGATACTGGCTCCAACGCGGTAGAGGAGCTCACTTCCCACTAGCACATCATAGTCTTCAGACTCTGATATCCCACATTGCAGCCTGATACAACATTCCTTCTCAGTTCCGGGCAGGAGTACCACCTCTACCGGCCGTCTCGTCCGCGGCATCCTTTTGGGTTCCCCTCCTTCCGCTGTCATCAGTAGTATTCCCCGCTCTACCGTCCTTCCGGGCAGGTCTAGCTTCATCTGGTTCGCGATCCCCTTCCCGATCAGCACATTATGTGCCCCGTGTCAATGATTGTCTGTTTCACTTGTAACCCGCCCACGATAATACTTCCCCGTTCGGCTATCAGCACCGACGCCTGACACACCAGCCATTCGTTTGGGTGTCTTCGCATCTGGAGATTCGACGCTCTTCCCCACTGGCTGCTCCTACGGCTGGGCTCGCTAGTGGTGTCGCTGTCTTGGGACTGACTTGATCACGGACGCAGGTCGATCTCGTCTCTTCCCCTGGGATACACCATCACTGCAAACTTCTTCCGATAGTCCTCCTCCCTTTCTTCTTCTTCTTCGATCTCTTCGTATGCCAGCAACGCCCGAGCGTTGCTGCCCTCTCTCTCCTCCCTTCTTCTTCTTCTTCTTCTTCTTCTTCTTCTTCTTCTTCTTCTTCTTCTTCTTCTTCTTCTTCTTCTTCTTCTTCTTCTTCTTCTTCTTCTTCTTCTTCTTCTTCTTCTTCTTCTTCTTCTTCTTCTTCTTCTTCTTCTTCTTCTTCGATCTCTTCTTCTTCTTCGATCTCTTCACTGCTGCCCTCTCCCTCTCCTCCCTCCTCCCCCTCTCCTCCCCTCTCCGGTCCCCCGCTTCCTCCTCCTCGCCCCTCCCGTGCTGTTTTCCCTCGTTCTCAGCCTCCGTTGTCCCCTCCTCTTTCTCACACTTGGCCTTCTCGTCGCTCTCCTCGTGCTCGTCCCTCGTCCCCTATTCCCGTCACTGACCTTTGTACTGCCCTATTTCCTCCTAGCTCCCCTCGTCCGTCTCCGTCTGTGCTTCCTTCTCCTCCTGAGTCGGCCCTCACTGCTTCCCTCTCTACTCCTGTCACTGACTACTACCGCACATACCGTCCTGTTCTCTCTCGTGTTCTTGCCTCTCTTGTTACCGACCCCCGTGCTTCTCTTTCCTCTGTCTCCGCTCTTACTATCGTACTCACTAAGTTTGCCTCTAATCGCCGCCTTGACTACGCCACTAGTCTTGTGGCTGCTCCTCCTACCAGTCCTCTGGCCGTCGGGGGTGAGTCTGCCCTTGGCTGTGACGCCCTAGAAGACAGGTTGTTTGAGCTAGAGTTCCTGGCAGCCGCTTCCCCTCATCTCTGTGCCATGCTGCGCGCCCTTGAGGGAGACCCCGACGCCCTTGACATACCGACTCCTCGCACTTACGCTGAGGCAGTGTAAGGGCCTTGGGCCTCTCGGAGGAGAGCTGCCATGGACGCAGAGATGGCCTCCTACAGATCCACAGGCACCTACGTTGACGAGGTTCCCCCCCCCTGCGGTGAACGTAGTCGATGGCATGTGGATCTTCAGGGTGAAGCGGCCACCGGGATCTCCCCTGGACTTCATGTGGCTAGAGGTTTCAAGTCCTCCTGCCTATCCTCAAGGACGTCCGTGCCAAGAGCACACTCACCCCTGACGGACGGAGGACAGACAGACTCAGACTCAGCAACAAGACTAGTGGCGTAGTCTAGACGACATGCAGCAGCAAAGTCAACAAGCTCAGCAACTAAGGCAGACGCAGCAGTGGACTCAAATGAAGGGACAGTGACAACAGTGGCCAGGAGACGCGTGACAGTATGGTGAGCAGCACGAACCAAGTCAGACTCAGGGTCCGGAACCTCAGGAAGTGAGGACACCGGAGGAGATGGCAAGGGAACACACTGTGGAACAAAGGATAGACGTTGTGCCATAGTGTGCGTGCCGGGGACAGGTGGAGGACGAGGACGGGGAACACGACGAGCACGGCGAACAGTGCGAACAGGGGAGGCAGGACGAGACGCAGGCTCACGACGCTCGGTAAGGGAGGCTGGCTGCTCAGTGAAACGAGGGGGGGCAGGCAGCGGCGAGTTTGGAGGAAGGGTAGTGGACGAAGGAAGACTAAGAACCTGACGGAGCACTGCGTCAGGCGTTAGCAGTGACAGCTGTGGTGGCAGCAAGAAAAACGGTCTCTGCTGCACAGTCCCTCAAGTACCAGCAGCACTAGCACGTCCAACGCCTCCAGTACCTCTAGCTCCAGCTGCACCAGCACCCCCAGCTCCAATAGCACCTGCACCTCCAGCGCTAGCACCTCTAGTACCAGCAGCACCAGCACCTCCAGCGCCTTCAGTACCTCCAGCTCTAGCAGCACTAGCACCCCCAGCTCCAGTAGCACCAGCTCCTCCAGCACCAGCACCTCCAGTACCTGCAGCCCCAGTACCTCCAGCTCTAGCGCCTCCAGCTCCAGCGCCTCCAGCTCCAGGGCCTCCAGCTCCAGTGCCTCCAGCTCCAGTGCCTCCAGGGACATTGCCTCCAGCGCCAGCGCCTCCAGCTCCAGCGCCTCCAGCTCCAGCGTCTCCAGCTCCAGCAGTGCTACTCAGAAGGCGGGTGCGCCAAGCAAACCACTCGCGCAACTGCAGAGGTGAGAGAGGCTCCCGCCGGCTAGCTCACTACGGCGAGGCACCCGGAGAACCTCCAGCAGACGCAGCACCCCTATGCTCCACACCCCCAGACTCAGCACCCTCAGGCTCAGCACCCCCATGCTCCACACCCTCAGTCTAAGCACCCCCAGGCTCAGCACCCCTAGGCTCCGCACCCCCAGGCTCAGTACCCCCAGGCTCAGCACCCCCAGACTCAGTACCCCCAGGCTCAGAACCCCCAAGCTCCGCACCCCCACACCCCCAGGCTCCGCACCCGCAGGCTCAGCACCCCCAGGCTCCGCACCCTCAGGCTCAGCACCCCAAGACACGCAGCACCCCGAGCAGCACCAGAGTCACTAGTGACCTCGACAGGCTCAGCCAAGGGGAGTGGGTCTACCTGAGACACACCTGAAGGAGCAGGACCCTGAGGGGGGAGGGGGTCTACCGGAGGAGGACCTGGAGTGAGGAAGAGCGGTGGGGGGGGGGGAGAGGGGCAGTGCGGTAGGGGAAGAGACGGTAAAAGGGAACCGACTTGTCAAACGTGACGTCTTGAGAGGGCAGAACCCGACGCGAGGTGGGGTGGTAAAACTGCCAGCCAGGCGCGTCAGGGGGAAAGCCAAGGAAGACGCAGGGAATGGCGCGAGAGGAGAGCTTGTCCGCGGTGGTATCGCGGACAAAGGCACGAGAGCCCCAGACCCGGAACACCGATGCATCGCCAACCTCCCCCGTCCAACGCAGCGTAGGCGAGGTCTCCAGCAAGGAGACACGGGGCCAGAGGTTGAGCTGATGCGCAGCGTACCGGACCGCAAACGGCCACAAAAAATGGGGAGCAGCCGCATGGATCATGGAGGTACGAGCCACCTCCATGACTAAGCCAATGCGGCGCTCTGCAATCCCATTCTGCTGCGGGGAGGCCGGAAGCGTGAAGGACAGGAGGATGCCCTCCCCCTGACAAAAGTCCTGCAAGAGGTCGGGGGAGAACTCACTACCTCTGTCAGAGTGCAAACACAGGACAGGAAGGTCCGTGCAAAACCGCTCGCGGAGCTGTAGACGGACACCTCGGATCCAAGGGATCAAGACATCAGGGACCTCCCCCTTGCTGCGCAAGGGGAAGACCGTGGTGTAACACGAGTCGTCGTCCACTGACGCGGGCTGGTCTCCACACGTCCATGTGGAGAGTCTGCAGGGGAGCAGTCGTCGGGGGAAACGAGGAGGAGTGAGGAGCGGCGCGCTGCCGCCCCTCGACGCAAGGAACGCAGGGCGGGGCAGGCGAGGGTGGGAGGGGAGGCAGAGACCTGGGAAGACTAGAGACAAGGAGGCGGGAGTGCATGCTACGGAGGCGTGGCAGAGAGGGGTGACCAAGGCGGTGGTGCCAAAGGAGATTCTGGTGCGACAGGAGGCGACATTAGCAGGGGGCTGCTACCGACCTGACGTGGACACCTGAGCAGCACAGCTACCTAAGGAGGCTCAGTAGTCAGTATGTACAGAGTCGACCCCGGCCGACGGGTGAACGTGGCCAGGTGACGGCCAGTCCGGGAGCACGTACAGATCGCCACACGCTGCCCTCCAGTGTTAAAGGTATCAACCCATGCATCCTGAAGGACTGCGTTGCTCACCAAGTTCATCGAGAACGAGGGGAGGTGGAGACCTGACAGTGAGCCGGACGGAACCGCCGGACACAGTAGAGGAACGTGCAAGAACCGAGCCCCAAGAGGGGTCAGCCAGAGAGACTGCAACAGGTGCAGGGAGTGGTGTGACTGTGGTACTTTCGCGAAATAAACAGCGGGAAGCACCTGAGTCTAGCGTGAAGGCGTAGTACCAGAGAGAGTAGTCTCACAAGCACCAAGAGTAGCAGCATCTATACCTGGGTCGGGTGGCACACAGAGTTAACAGTCACCCTCAGCACTAACAGTCAAAGCATACATGGCAGCAAGAATAGCATCATACTCAAGCGCAAAGATTTCAACACTAGACCTAAGCAGCTCTTGCCAGCTGATGAGCATAGCCTCGTCGCCAAACTCTGCGCGCCAAGCGTCGTCAAGGCGGGAGAAGCAGCGGTGCTGGGTGTGAAACTTCCCGCATGTCTGACCAGCGCGGTCATCTGTGTGAATGACATACCGGCGGCGAACACTACCCGCGGACGCCCCACGCTGAGCAAACCACTCATGAATCTGCTAGGGCGTAGGGGTCCCGCTCGGATGCTGCTGCTGCTGCCTCTGACCACCGCCAGAACCTCCCCTCTAAACAGCTCCACCCCGACCGCCACCACTGCCGCCGCCACCACTCCCACTGCCGCCACCGCCGCCACCACTCCCACCGCCGCCACCACTGCCGCCACCGACGCCCTCACTCCCTCCGCCACTACCACCGCCACCCCCGCTACCTCCACCGCCTCCACTTCCTCCACCACCACCCCCCCCGCTGCCACCTCCACCACTCTTGCCTCCCTTGCCCTTGCCGCTGCGGCGCTTCCCACTAGGAGCGGAAGCAGCCCCGACCTCCTCAGCACCAAGGAAGTCAACAGCAGCAGCAGAAGCGTAGGAGGGGGCAAGGGGGGAGGGGGAACACCCCTCAAAGAAGGGCGTGCGAGTAGTGCCATGAGCAGCATCTACAGCAACTATGCTAGTCTGAGCTACAAGGAGGTCCTTCTCGAGGAGGTCGACGGTGAGGTCGGTGGGGCTAAGTGCGAGAAAGGTGTCCCTGACTGCGCGAAGAGAGTCATGGAGGAGGGTGACTATGAAGTAGAGCGTGATGTACATTGGGGGCGGGTTCTTGTTTAAGAACTTGGCTGGGAGGGCGGCACGGTAGCAAGTGTCGCTTGTGCGAAGGTGGGTGATGAGGTTCTCAACCGTAGCAAAGGAGGACAGCTCGGGAAACAGGTAGGGCAGTATAAGGCGGCCGAGAGCAGCAGTGGCAGGGGAAGAGTAACGAGCGACTACAGCGTCGTACAGGGCCTTAGCAGTCTTGTGCTGGCCAAAGTGAGCGCGTTCGGCTAACGGCAGGTGGCTGCGAACGGCTAGGCGAGCAGCAGCGTCACGGGTAAGCCACTGTGAGCGAGCCGCACCGTCAGCTGTGTCGGGAGGGGCGAGAGAGGCTCCAGACGTGTGGTAAAACAACAAAACGTAGTCTCTAGAATTGCTCAGTAAATACAGATGTAAGGACGCGGTAAATGTGCAAATATCGCTAGATCGTGAGCAAAAATCGATCCCGACAATCGATTGGTCGGGTCGTTTGGCGAAACGATGCGCTACCAGGTTGTAATGATCGCACCCGAGTTTAGCGGTGGATGTTCCACCACCGAGATTGTGGACCCGTCTGCGACGCGGGCACTGTAAAACTAGGGGTCGCACAAGCACACATGCGACTAGCGAATCGAATTTCTGGTTGGGCTCCAAATTTCTGTTTTGCTCTCAGGTTGGGCGACTCAAATTTCCGACTATGCGAAAAATCAGCGCCTCGCAGGAATCCGAATCCAACAGGCCTGGTGCGCTCGGTTCGTGGGCATCAGATGCGCATCACAAATCGGGGGCGATCGGTGATGAGTCACAATCTCTCGCTGTGCAGCTTCTTTGGCCAAAAACCGTACTGTAGCAAGGTTACAAGGTAGTGAACAGGTTAACAAATCGGCACATCAATCGCGACCGACGATCGATCGTCTACTTTTACTGAGTCATCGAGCCACGTATTGAACTGGATGGGACGACCCTCAAGATCGAACGTAAGAATGCTGAGAGTAGCCATAGTGGGCAAAGCAGGGTGGCGTGCGAGCACTTAGGGAAACGCGCAAGGCAGGAATGGCGGCGCACGGCTAGCAGGGCGGAGCGCATGCAGGAAATGGCAGCACGCAGGCTGCAAAGGGCGGCGTGCGGGCTGCAAAGGGCAACGCGCGGGCAGGAAGAGGCAGCGCGGGCTGCAAAGGGCGGCGCGTTGGCTGCAGAGGCGGCGCCAGGCTGCAAGGGCAGTGCACGGGCTGCAGAGGCGGCACACGGGCTGTAACGGCGGCGCGCGGGCTGCCAGGGGCGGCGCACGGGCTGCAAAGGCGGCGCGCGGGCTGCAGAGGCGGCGCGCGGGCTGGAAGGTCTGCGCGCGGGCTGCAGAGGCGGCGCGGGAGCAGTGCGACGGGTGGGGAAGCGCTAGTTGGTGGGCCCTAAAGACGGTCCTGGGATAGGACCTACTTTGACACCATGTCAAAGTTAGAGAACGAGAATGGATGCATTGATCAGAAAACTGAGTACAAGTACTAACCCCAATTAGGTTGTGCCCCATATAGGCTACTCCACTGCAACCTACACAACACAAACATCATAATGTTCTGACAGGCTCTTTCGCCCTGTGACCACCAGAGTCATTGTGTGCAGTTAGGTCTCGTTGATACAGGTTCTCGTCGTGCGTAGTCTTATATTCTCTACTTGTTTTGTTTGTACGCTTTGCATATACATTTGTGAACTCTTGGACTAGCCTTCAGGGCTGACGTTTCATTTTGGGCCTCCCTGATTCCGGGAAAAAAATCCCCCCTGTATTATGGGGGCACATTTTTCACAAGGTAGCTACTCTGCTAGCTCAGTGTCCAACAGATTCCTACTCTAAGGCCTCAGGGTTCATAGCATGAGGTCAGGGTTGCATTGAAATTTGCACTACACTTTAGAATGTCTTTACAATTTTCCTACACTATCTAGTGCACGGGCTTATCAATGTGGTACACCTCTTCCACGTCCTCATCGTCTGACAGGAAGGGGTTGTCCTCCTCCTCCCCCTCCTCCTCCTCCTCCTCCTCCTCCTCCTCCTCCTCCTCCTCCCCCACGAGCTCCTGATCGTTGAACAGGTCCCGTTCCACTTCATCCTCCTCCTCCTCCCCCCCCTCATCCTCATTCTCCCCCGCAGTTCCGGCAGCCACGTCTTCACCCTCCTTCCGCTTCCCCTTCTTGTCCCTCACTACCACAGTCAGCTTCAAACTCTTCGCAGGGCGCCTCCTCCGCATGGACCTCCAGACCTCTAGTGCTTCCTGCCAGTCGATCTCATACTTCAGGAGCAAGATCTGCATCAGCTCGCCCAGTCGCGCGTTGCACAGCGCTCCTCGCACCCAAGACTTGATGACATTTTGCCTGGAGAAACCCCTCTCGGACTTCACGGTTGAGAGGGGTAGCACAGCTAGCGCCTGCTACAGAAGGAGTAGGTTTGGCCATCTCCTGCCAGGCACATGCAAGCACACAACGTCAACAAACGATAACCATGCGTACTAACATTCGTCCCAAGCATTGGCGCAAGCAGAGCGCTACCTCTAGGAGTCAGCACTCCCGAGAAAGTTGGACAGCCCCTGCGAAAAGCTCTCCAGCTCGTGGTGTGTCTCCATGATCGCACAGAATGTCGGCAGCTCCCTCTCTGCTGCCTTGATGTCAAAACCTGGCAGCTTGTTGCGGAAAAGCTTGCTGCATCCCTACAGCCACTCATGGCAATTCTTCTCTCGCTGCGCCATGATCTTCGACCACGTCCCCGCTCGGAACAGCTTTGTCGGCCCCAGCTTCCCCAGGTCATCCAGACGGTCGTTGAGGTTGTCTACGCAATCCTGGGCGAATCTGCGGCACAACTTCACGCAATCGGCGTACGTGCTTCCCAGCTTGTGCCCCTTGAGCTTCCTTGAGCCCCTTGAGCTTCCTTGAGCTTCCTCTCGTGCATGGTGTAGAGGTGGTTGATTGGGCGTCCCTCCTCATCCACACCTCGCACCCGGACCTGCTTGCCTCCACCCTCCTTCTGCACCTTAAGAAAGTTGACCAGCCAGCTTTTGCCCTCTCCTCCGAACGGCTTGTCGGTCGTCAAGTACCGCTCCGTCATATCACCCGTGGTGGACTCAACGGTCTTCGCAATCTCTGTCACATCCATCTGTCACAGTGCAAAATTTGAGAATAGGATATACTGTTAGCAACGGTACAAGAATCTGCCGACAATCAAAGGCCATCGTACACTAAAAAAAAATCTCACCTCACGCCTCTGGAAGCAATGGTTGTGGTCGTTCATGTCGGCAAGGATGTCTGCGAGGAAGAACATGTTTAATTGAAACATGTAGCACGTCACAAACTCGTAGGCCTTGTGGTTGTGCTCCCAGAGCAGCACGATGCAAGCGCCGAGGACCTTGCATAGACAGCGAACCGCATCCCCTCGTGACAGCCACCGAACCGTGTGGATCCCCTGGACTTCAAGGTTCGTGTTGTATATCACTCTTGGCAGGTACTTGAAGCGTTGACTCCAAACGCTCGATGATCCGAGTAGGGACGCCACAGTGTGGACCACCTTGTCCACCATTTCAAGGTCCGGATTTGACTCAGCAGCCTCCTTTACAGCCGGTGCCTCTCTGTAGGACGGTGGGGTTACAGCTCAACATGTGTGAATAAAACTCAACACACGCACATGGGTATGTAAAACTACATGCACTAAACACACCGGAGTGCGATGCAGTGACGGAAAAAATGGTGCGGAACGTGTTCCCGAAGACGCGCCACCAATCCGTTATCCTTCCCCGTCATGACCGAAGCCCCGTCCGTGCTGATGCCAACGAACTTGACACATCCATGGCTGCAGAGCGGGGGTGGTTCAGCAGCACCTCGAACAGAGACCCTGCATCACATCTCTCAACGGTCAGCAAGGTAAAGAACTCACAAGCAACTTGGCGATTCTTCAAAAACGTCAGGTAAACAATCACGTGTTTTCCTTGCGTGCGGTCGGTGCTCTCGTCGCAGCTGATGCGTCAGGTAAACAATCATGTGTTTTCCTTGCGTGCGGTCGGTGCTCTCGTCGCAGCTGATGCCCAGGAAGGGGGAAGATAGGATGTGGTCCATCTGCACTCGCATGAGGTAGGTACTGATGTTGTGAACCATCTGCTGAAAGCCGTACCTGCACATGTGTGTGTCAAATGGTAAGTAACAGTTAAACCAAACCTGGAAACGCAACAAACGAAATAAAACACTACACCAACACAGCGAGGTACCGTGTCAAATAGACCCCGTAGGATTGCCGTGGAATGTCGGGCGTTTCCTGCTCCGCAAGATGCCTCATCAGCTTCGGGAACATGCTGATCGGCGCGTCGCACTGGCACAAAAACTGAACTGACCGCATGAGTCGAGTAGCGCGCCTCCCCTCGATGTCGGTGTCGAAATCACCTGCTGCCCCTCGCGGATGCCCTGCGCAATCTTCATTTGCCGGTCCACCGCTGCCGTGTGAGCGTCCGTGTGCTCGTGTGCCCTGAACGACTGCGTCTGCAAGTCTCGGCCACCGTCATCACCTTACATGGCGTACTTCGTGTTCTCTTTCATGTACGACATGTAGATGTTGCACTTCACGTAGGGAAATCGAGCCACGAAAACATCCCGGACTACTTTGCCTCGTAGTTGATACTCGCCTCAAGGTACATCTGCTCTCTCTCAGCTGCATCTTGGTGAGTGCGGGCGAGCCGGTGTCCGCGCGGATGGGGATATCACCTTCCTCTGGGAGCTCAGTGACAACAGTTGGTGGATCGGCCGGCTTGTCAGCCGGTGGAATACAGCGACCACCGACGACCAGGGTACTCTGGGACCACTTCCCAGAGCGCGCGCGCTTGGGAGTGGAAGAAGCGACGGAGGACCTAGGGACACCCGCACCGTGCTTGGAGTGGGACTAGGCGATGGCGGTGGGGGATCTTTACTGCATGAAGCAACAGCCGGGGGTAGAGTGAATGCGGCGGGACGGGGAGAGTCAAACAGAGTGGCAGTTACTCTAGCTGCAGAGTCATGAACGGTAGACCTAGGAGGATCTGGTTCAAATCAGAGTAATAGTTTTCCTATCCCTGATTTTGAGTATGGTGTAACAGACTAGCCTCTTAGTGGACCTTGACTTAACAGGGTATCGAATCTGTGGTCCCTGAATTTGACCTTGTCGAGAGGAAATTTCTCGAAATTTTCCTTCCGATATCCCCCTTCGGATTGATCGCGGTGTAGCCAGCGTGTGAGCGACGGACAGTAGCATGCCTGACAGGTGAGTACACTCAATGTATGATACTTTCATGCCTTGCGACTAGGTCATTCTACTGTCGTAATTGCGTGTGGGTGAAGTTACCAGAAATTTTTAGCGTTTCGCACAGCGATGTTGGCGACATTCAAGTATTCAGCGATTAAAAACTTGGCACATCTGTGGTATCGAATCGAAATGTTTGGTTGACCGAAATCGCTCGTCTCTTCCCCGCGCTAAAACGTGTGGATAAATATTGTTTTGTGAAACTAAAAGAGTGGAAATTAGCGCGCACAAGGTGTGCGCGAAACACAGAGCGTAGATTTAACGCAGAGTGAGACTTTTTCCCCGGTAACAAAGGGCGCGTTACTACTCTGATCTTCGATTTTTGACGCTGAACAGTCAGCGTTACATACTTTTCAACCCTGAGCAATCAGGGTAGCATCATTCTGAAAAATGTGCACTCATAATAGAGGGGAAAGTTTTTCCTCGGAATCAGGGAGGCCCAATATGAAACGCCAGCCCTGGTGCACGCTGATCGATCAGCGTGCCCCAAAACGAATCTAGGGGCATGATGGTGTTGGTATTACGTCAGTCTTGCGCGTGACTCAGGTCCCTCACATGGGTGCAAGCGAAGTCATGATTACGCACATGGAGGGTTATTGGAACGAAGTTTACAAGAAACTTCGCCCCGATACCCTCGCATTCAGGGTCCACAAGACGCGCACTCTACATTGACAGAGTCAGTAAGAACACTACTCTGAGCTTGGAAACAAGATTTCAGGGTTCGCTAAAGTCCTAATCTAAATGGATCAGAGTTCACAAGTCACAAATTCTGAAATGGCAGGGACCACCAAGTGACAAGCCTGTAATCACCCTGAAATCAGGGTAATTACCCTGATAAAATCAGCCCTGCTAGCCTTGTGGCTCTTTTGCTTGTGCTCGGAGTGGTGACATTGTGATGCACCATGAGCTTTACTTCTTTGAGACTGGTCTTGTGATCGTACTTTTTGGTTGTTGCATGACACTTCTCACTTAGGTTATGAGGGTGTGTCAAATGTTGTAGCCTGTAGTGAGGCATGTCATGTGGGGTACAGCAGTTAGGGTTAGGTTTATGTACCCCAACCAACCTTAGTAAAACCATCATTCAGTTCTTGACAGAAATCCTTCGTTAGAGGCAATAAGAATGGAGAAATGACATATGGTTTGGTGAGCAAGCAGACTCGTTCAAAGCTAGCACATTTTATGATAAGCACCCCATAAATTTAACACTCAATTTGGAATTGCGTTTACGAAGTTTCATATCTTTCACAATCCCATTTCAATTTTTATTTGGACCCCCACGTTAGGGGAGGGGTGCGCCTTCCTCGGAGTTAGTGCAATACCGAGGCGATGCGCGCAGGGCCGACCAGCAAGCTGGCCATTGACGTCTGACCCCGAAAGAAATTAATTTAATGTCATGTGGACCAATGGTCCACGTATCAGATATTAAACTGATAAGAACAGATACTACACTTGATCTTAGCCAAAAGGCCGAGAAAGGTATGTCGATAACATGGATCATCGCCAGTTTGTTTCTCAGAATCAGAATTCAACTTCGAGCATTGTGGGTCTTTCTTCCCTACCCTTACTTTTATGGTGCCGCTGAAAGGGCCACGTGTTAGTCCTTTCTTTGTCCTTGCCTACTTGCGTCGTCTGTCGTGGGTGTCAGTTTCTTTCGGTGTGAAGAAGCCTTGCTCAGATTTGTTAGAGCTCAAGTCCTCGCCTAAGGGCGTGTTATATTTTCGATTTTCTCCAAACGAACCGTACCGTCTGAACGGTTGAAAAATGTTTTTTTTTTTTTTTTTTTTAACGCGTTGTTCAAGTGGGTTTCAATGCGTTTCAGAGTGGTGATTTTCCAAATCGTACGAGATCATCGAAAATGTAACACGCCCTAACTGCTCCTATTCCGTGCGCCACAACGATGCGCAGACCTTTCCACTTCACCATGCCTAGCTAATGGGGCGCACCATCAACTCGCGGTAGCAGAGGTTAGCGCCATGTTTCCCGTGAAGCGCTGGGACGGCCTTCACGAGGCCCTCCCCTCGTCGTACCTCCACGCCTCCACTCCGCCACTCAAGCCTCCGCCCACCTTTCTGCTCGCTCCTGCTTCTGCCCCGCCGTTTCCCGCGTATAGCAAAGTTGAGACGCCTTCTGGCAGCGAGAAGGCAGACCGATTAGTGGAGAGAAGCGATGAGAGCAAGGTTGAAGGAAAGACTACCGGAGAATCAATTGTCATTGGCGGAAGCGTCGAAAGAGCTAAGAACAAGGTTTTTGCGTTGGAGATTGCGGGAGAATCCATCGGTGATACGAAGAGGAAGAAGAGGAATAAGGGAAAGAGGGAGGTAGAGGGGAAGGACGCGGAAGGTGCGGGCGCTCCGTCTGATGGCGGAGCCGCACGGACAGTGCAGTTCCCATCACCTATGGATGACCGCGCTGACGTGGCCCACATTAGATCTTTTGGTGCTGACGTGGCGTCAACCGTTGCTTGATGGCACGAAGGTGCAGAAGCCGTTGAGGGTCACAGGAAACGGAAAAAGGGGGGATTGCGACGATCAAAATAGGCGAATGCGGCAGTAAATGATTCGCATGTGACGGGGCGAGCGAGCAGGCAGGGAATGCACTCCGCAACGAGGGCGAGGGTTTAACGTTCGCTGCAGCCCAAGAGATTAGAAATGCAAGTGGAGAATTGGCGCAGGTAACGTGAGAGGCGTGGGGAAGGAGAAGAAGAGGAATCGCAGGCGAGAGGATGAAGGGCATGCGAGCTATGCTGCGGTAGTACATAGCGGTGAAGTGGGGAACGGAGAAGTAGGGGGCGGAGGAGGGTTTGAGCGAGGTTCAGGGTTCGGAGGTATAGCACATGCGGAAGACTCGGAACAGAAAGTTTGTTCAAGGGATGGCGAGGGAAAGGCGACAAGGGAAAAGGAGCAGAAGGGGAAGGGGGCCAGGCGAGGGAAGCAGGATGGGGCGATGGATGGTGGGGAGGACACGTTGGTGGTGGACGCAGATGAGGCAGCGGAGGGAGATTGTGGGAGGGCGAGGGGTGAAGAGGGGATCGAAGGAAGGGGGCGAGGGTGATGATGGGGCTGCTGGTGCAAAGAAAGCAGAGCATGAGCTAGTTCTTGAAAAGCCTTTAAAGCCAGAGCATCAGGCACCTGCTAAGATGCCAGCAGCAACGAAGGGCGCAGGAGGAGGGGCAGGGAGAGTCGCGGTGCTGCCGTGGATGAGGGCGCCTGTGAAATGCTCCACAGGTGATGCCGTTCCTCTAGCTTCGGTGCCGAATCTAGAAAAGCGATTGGGTGGTCAGCTGTGAGGGTGCGTGTGGGAATTCGCCTGGTCGTCTTCCATGCCATGTGCTGCCTTCTCTCCTTGATTATCACACTCAATTCCTGCTGCTTCCCTTTCCCCATTTACCCTTTTTCTCCTGCCTCTCATTCCCCTTTCCTTCGCCTCTCTTCTCCCTTCTCCACATCCCCCCTTGCACGCCCCACTGCTCCGCCCCATCCCCGCCTGCCAGCCTCCTGCGTGCCCTCGCCCCGGCCGGCATTTCTTACCCCTTTCCCGTGCAAGCCACAGTGTGACGCGAGCTCCTGGGGTTACCTGGTAACCACTCTCATCCCCATGAAAGAGCAGCACCCAGGAAGGGGAAGGAGGGGGGACGGGGGAGAGGAGGTGCTGGCGATGGGGGGAAGGGGGGAGGCGCGCAGGCGGAGTGGGAGGGCGGGGAGGAGCAAGAGGTGGCGGGGCTGCGGGCGTCGTCACACGACTTACGTGTGTGCGCCAACGGGGAGCGGCAAGACGCTGGCGTATGCGCTGCCAGTGGTGCAGGCACTGGCAGGGCGCGTAGTGCGGCGAGTGCGGGCCGTGATAGTGCTGCCCACTCGAGACCTGGCTGCTCAGGTGGGTGTTATGGCGCTGTTGTGCTGTGCTGTGCTACCATGCTGCTGCGCACATATGTACATTCACTAAGTGCGGACTTGCACTCACACTTATTTACTCTCAGACAATCTGACTCCCACTTGTACTGCCTGGACTTGACCAACTCACACCCGCTTCACCTCCTCCCCATCCCCACTTGTCCTGCCGAATCTCAACCATCACCTCACTCTTCCAACATTGCCACCCAACTTCACTTGTCTTCCCCCCAACACGCCCTCTCCCCCTCTCTCAACCTTCTCGCCCCCCACCATGCCATTTTTCCTGCCTCTACAGGTGAAGCACGTGTTTGACACCATAGCGCCAGCTGTCGGCCTCTCAGTGGCTCTCATCAACAGCCAATTGTCGCTCGGTGACGAGGCAACCCACCTCGTGCCGCACCCCGCCGCTCGTGCCGGCCCCTTGGGCCTCCTCAGTCGTTCAAGCTACAGCCAGGGAAGTGGGTACAGCAGCAGAGGCAGCGGCTGTAGCGGGGCAAATAATGTAGTGGCAACAGCAGGGCGCTTGGTGGACCATCTGAGGGGCACACACGGCTTCTCCCTCTTGCACCTGCACTTCCTCGTCACTCCGCTACAACTGTTGGCTCTGTTGCAGCTATTGGCTCTGTTGCAGCTATTGGCTCTGTTGCAGCTGTTGGCTCTGTTGCAGCTGTTGGCTCGGTTGCAGCTGTTGGCTCGGTTGCAGCTGTTGGCTCAGTTGCAGCTGTTGGCTCTGCTACAGCCACTAGCAGTGTGGGTTATTGAGGGGCACTCCGGGCTTCTCCCTCGCACATGTGCAGTCCGCCTTGCACACCTCTCACCCTCACCCTGTGCCCGCTGTGCCCCTTATATCCTCTCTCAATCCCCATGCCTCCCCATGCCTCCCCATGCCTCCCTATACTCCCTGCATCTCGTCTTGAGCCCATCAGGTGGTGGACGAGGTGGATCGTCTGCTGCGCCAGTCCTACCACGACTGGCTGCCACTCACCCTCACCGCTGCTGCTGCCGGCCCTTCCACTGGCACTGCTGCCACTTCAGCAGTCGCCGGCACGCATGCTGACGTGACAGTGGGCATGGCGGCTGTGGGTCGCGCCATACAAGCACGTGGCGGTAGCAGCATGAGCGGGGCTCTCCCCACTCTGTTCATCCACGGCCTGCCTGCCATCCCTGTGAGCCCCCAACATTCACCTTATGCTATGCGCTGCTGCTATATGCCGCTGCTATGTGCCCGTGCCTTGTGCTGCTGTGTGCATCTGACCTGCACAGTTCCTCTCGCCGTCTCTTGCCCTCCCAGCTCCCTTCTTCCACGGCCTGAGATTCCAGTGGCCCTCAACTACTGCTCGTACGTGCTGCTATGTGGTGCTGCGGCTACCTTGTGCTGCTCTCAAGCACTCGGGTAACGATGCACAGGACGTAATTTGGCTAGATCTGCAGCCTCAGTGGAATTCATGCTCACTCACCTTCTGAACTTGCAATCGCTTACACCGTCAGCCCGAGTTTTTGTTCCTCACACTTAATCTCGTCTTTTTCCACTCACAGCCCTGTGCTTCCCATTGTTCTCCTCCACACGGTCACTCGGCCCATATTACCCTCGTCTCTTCCCCGCATACCCTCCCCAACACCGAGTGCCGCTGGGTGATCAAGCTTGTGCCGATGGTGTCAAGCTTGTGCCGATGGGGTCAAGCTTGTGCCGATGGTGTCAAGCTTGTGCCGATGGTGTCAAGCTTGTGCCGATGGTGTCAAGCTTGTGTCGATGGTGTCAAGCTTGTGCCGATGGTGTCAAGCTTGTGCCGATGGTGTCAAGATTGTGCCGATGGTGTCAAGCTTGTGCCGATGGTGTCAAGCTTGTGCCGATGGTGTCAAGCTTGTGCCGATGGTGTCAAGATTGTGCCGATGGTGTCAAGCTTGTGCCGATGGTGTCAAGCTTGTGCCGATGGTGTCAAGCTTGTGCCGATGGTGTCAAGCTTGTGCCGATGGTGTCAAGCTTGTGCCGATGGTGTCAAGCTTGTGCCGATGGTGTCAAGCTTGTGCCGATGGTGTCAAGCTTGTGCCGATGGTGTCAAGCTTGTGCCGATGGTGTCAAGCTTGTGCCGATGGTGTCAAGCTTGTGTCGATGGTGTCAAGCTTGTGCCGATGGTGTCAAGCTTGTGCCGATGGTGTCAAGATTGTGCCGATGGTGTCAAGCTTGTGCCGATGGTGTCAAGCTTGTGTCGTTGGTGTCAAGCTTGTGCCGATGGTGTCAAGCTTGTGCCGATGGTGTCAAGCTTGTGCCGATGGTGTCAAGCTTGTGTCTCTTGAACCATCCGCTCATCCGCACTTGCCTGCACCCATGTTCTCCCATTCTTTCCTCTCTGCCATCGCCACAACCCCTTGCGCCACCTTCCTTCTCTCTGTAACCAACATTAAGCGCCATCAGGGGGGATCAAGCTTGTGTGCTTCCCCATGCTCACTTGCAGTCCTTCGCTTCCTGTGTCTCCTCTCTACCTTATTGAACCCGCGTGCCTATGCAGCGCCTCCTGTGCCCCCTGTGCCCGCACGCTGCTTTCCGCACGCAGGCTGCCAACGTTGAGCTTCAATCTCGTGTGCTTCCCCATGCTCACTGTGCTTCTCGTGTGCTTCCCCATGCTCGCTGTGCTTCAATCTCGTGTGCTTCCCCATGCTCACTGTGCTTCAATCTCGTGTGCTTCCCCATGCTCGCTGTGCTTCAATCTCGTGTGCTTCCCCATGCTCGCTGTGCTTCAATCTCGTGTGCTTCCCCATGCTCACTGTGCTTCAATCTCGTGTGCTTCCCCATGCTCACTGTGCTTCAATCTCGTGTGCTTCCCCATGCTCACTGTGCTTCAATCTCGTGTGCTTCCCCACGCTCACTGTGCTTCAATCTCGTGTGCTTCCCCATACTCACTGTGCTTCAATCTCGTGTGCTTCCCCATGCTCACTGTGCTGCAATCTCGTGTGCTTCCCCATGCTCACTATGCTTCAATCTCGTGTGCTTCCCCAAGTCGGTCAGCAGGTAGGTGAGCCAGCGTAACTCCTGTGCAGCCATGGCTCCTGCGTAGATCTCAGCCTCACAACTGGAGCTGAGAACAGAAGAACGTGGCAGAACAAGGTGTACTTTGTGCATATAGTGATGGGCCACAGTTTGATGTTTCGCCAATTTGGTCTTCATTTGGGTTATTCTTACGCCCAGAAAATTTTCAGCCGTTTCCCAAAGTTCATGGAGACAGTTTTCTCATCGCTGTGAGTTGGATGGCCTGACCGTGAAATGTTAAAGGTTTTTTAGAGGGAATTTCATGCATTTGCTAGAATCCCTTGCATAGTGAGTGTATGGAACTTGCTGCGATCAGAGATTGATCGTAACCTAGGATCGTCTCAGGAAGGTTCGCACGGAGTCGTGCAGTTGTTGGTGAGCCCTTGACCTCAATTCAGAGTGAATGTAAAATGATTGAGATGATTAAACACATGCAAACATGAGCATATAAGTAGTAGTACAGGGGAATACGAAACGACCTAGCTAGCCATTACTCTAAAGGGTGCATTCCTTTATTCCAATTCAAACCCAACCGTGCGACTCGAACAGTTACGAAACTGTTCCCGCCAATTTCATCGCCCTTACGACTGTCGATGCCGTTTCATGCCGACAGTCCAGATGCATCCAACTGTCTGCATCGCTTCGAGTCTTTTCTGACTCTTCGTTCTTTCAGGCTTCGATACTGTGTGACTCATTTGCTACTATCAGGAGTGCACAATTCTTTTTCTTAATCCACCATTCGTAACAGAACTTACCTACGCTGTTATGGGTTTGGGCCTCATCGAGAAGACTTCAAAAATAGGAAGGGTTTTTTTTTTTCAATAATACTGCAGCTAATCTGTGACAGCAACGGCCATATTTGTCCTGGTAGCATCAATGACGCTAGAATCTTCCAGAACAGCCCTACAAGGACTGAACTAGATGTTTTAATATAGTTATAGCACCGAACTAGATTGCGTGCACCGAATTCAAGGCTTTCCGGTTGCCACCAAAATGTCTTCACCAAATTTGGGAAGGCTCCATTCGGGACGCTTCGCGACCCTCGGAACCTTTGCGTAACACCTGGTTACTGGCCCTTGTGTCGAGGCGATATATAGCCTCGTAATCTACCCAGATGGATGAATCAATTCATTTCTCATTTATGAACTCGATCCTATCGACCTTGCACTTGGTAATCAGAGCTCGTGTACAAGCGAAGTTCTTTCGACCGCTAAAAACCAGTCTAAAAAAATTTGAAAAAAAAAAAAAAAAAAGCGGGGGCGACGAACGATAAGTGCCGATTTGGGTACGTAAAACCAGTTCCATGTTTTTCAGTCCCCCTCGATTTCGGTTTTTCGGACAGGATGTCGCCAGGAATGGAGGGCTTGGGCGACAACTTCATACAAGAAGTCGCCTCCCTTCACAACGACCTGGACCAGACGCAAGCGGCACATCAACGAATTGAGGCGCTTCTTGCGAACTAGTCGGAAGCCACCACAGCAGCAGCGAGCGCAGTGGCGAATGCAGCGGCAACAGTAACAGCAGCAGCGGCAGCAGCAGCAGCAGCAGCAACACCAACATTTCACGCTACACCAGCTACGGCAAATCTTGAAGTAGCATGTCCGAGGCTCCCGGAAAGGTTCGATCCGAGCGCGAACGGATCAAACATCCGCCGATTCGTGGCGACCCGCGAAATTACTTCAAGACCATTGGCTGCACGACCCCGACCAATGACGCAACACAAATTTGACTCACTGCAACACTGTTGCGAGGCCCGGCGCTCGAATGGGTTTACTACAGTGACGAAGTATGAGGCGAGGGATCGTGGACGCAGTTTCGGGCAGCTTTAAAAAAGCAGTTTAAAATACGGTGACGAAGTATGAGGCGAGGGGTCATGGACGCAGTTTCGGGCAGCTTTAATAAAGCTACATGGCGCGGCAGCAGATTCATCGGCATAAACAGTACGATAGTGTAGTGCTATACACGCAGCAGATGGAAAGCCTATTCAACCGAATTACAGACCTGACCGAAGGGGAGGAAAATCAACCGTGCACTGAGGGACTCCGCCGACAGGTGATAGCCGCTAATTACAGTAACTACCCCGACATGGTGTGTGCAGTAGAAAGATTCGATGCGTCGTAAGGTCAACCTGACACACGACGCCACGTGCCGAATAGGAATTTCGGCACGGAGCGATCGGCACCCCCGACGATCGCCGACTCGATGGATATCGACAAAGTCGATGCGAAGCCGCGGCAGACAAAATTCGAGAAATGTGAATTTTGCGGCACAGCGGGACATCAGATTTTTTCGTGTTGGAAAATGAAACTTGCATGAGCGGAGATGCTGGGCAGCAACAGTGCACCCCCGAAGTAAAAAACGGGTATCGCCAGCTGCCGCACATCGACCTGGCGATAGCAAAAAGATCCGGAAACGGGAAAAATGCAACAACGTGGTGACTACAAAGCGGGTGAAAAAGGGAGAATACGATGGCGCAAATTTAAAACATCACGACCGGCCGGAACCAGGGGAAATCGCCGAGGCAAATGGAGGCTCCGCAAAAAAAGGCTCTGCACCGACCGAAAAACTCCAGCCGAACATCCTTGAGAGTAAAAATTCGTTTGTTAAAGTTATCCTATAAAGATACTTTAACTAAGAATATTACTTCTCGTGGTTTTCAAGCCTTTGAAAAAATCAGGGGAGAATTATAGGCAAAGAAAAAGCCTTAAGGTAAGTTGGGCAAACAACTCCGGAGCATTGAAAAGGTCCGTGTGTTTCGATGAGTTAATATTCTCTCCCAACAGCACCATGTTAAGGCTTCCCAAGCCCACAGGTGAAGCCTACCTAGCTGCAAAGGCATAGGGGAAGGTTCCAGGCACGTGAGAAGTTATTCAACCCTCGGAAAAATTCTTCTACCCCCAAGGTGAAGTTGGAAGCTAAGAGTGCTGTGTCAGGTATAGGAAATTGTGAGAATGATTATTTTATGTACCCTATGATCCTATTAACGAAACTATTATTGGCTACTCAACATAGCAAAAACATTACTTCTCAAGGTGTTATGCAAAAGGCGATGCCTCTAGGCACTGGTCCCATTCGGTGTGCGATCGCAGGACGTTGAAGATAATTGGAGAGTCCTCGGAGGAGACCCATTTCACAACAATGATGGTGGACAAAACGAAGCGTCTCATCAAGGGCAAAGCATCACTGTAGCTGCAGATAGGGGCGTTGAGGTGGAAGCCGACGTTGCCGATTACGAATATCAAAGGGTTAGATTTCATCTTGAGGCGTGATTTCTTGAAGTGGGTCAACCCTGAGATCGAGTGGTTCAACCGGAAGGCGTGCATTTACAACTATGGGAAACGTGTGGAGCTACGAAGCTGGAGGGATACAGGGGACATACCAAAGACAACATTTGCATGGTTCGAACGGACAGTGAACGAGAGTAACACGGGTTACTTAGCACTGGTCATGGCAGCAGCAGAGGAGGAGAAGCCGAACTCGGAGCTACCTGCAGGAGGAGGTGTTCGCGGAATACAAGGACATCATGTCAGATGACCTCCCTGTAGGAGTGCCTCTAACACGAACCCTCGAGCCAGAGATCGTGGAGGAACCATCTGCGGTCTCCCGTGCACCATACCGCCTTAGTCCGACTGAACTGACAAACATGAAGAAACATATTGAGTACCCACTGGACAGACAACTGATCCCCCTATCCACCTCCCTTACGGCGCATCGGTTCTCTTCACTCCAAAGCCGGACGGTAGTTTACGGATGTGCATCGACTACCGGGCACTGAACAAACAGACAGTCAAGAAAAAATACCCCATACTGCGCATAGACGATCTTCTAGATCAACTGCGTGGTGCAATAGTGTATTTTCGAAGCTGGACCTACGGTCGGGTTACTGGCAGATCAAGATGGCAGACAACTCGACCCACAAGATGGCATTTCGTACCAGATACGGCTCCTACGAATACTTGGTGATGCTGTTCGGACTCTGCAACGCACCAGCGACGTTCCAGGCGGAGATGAACCACATCCTACGGCCCCTGTTGGACGACTGCGTAGTAGTGTACCTGGACGACATACTGATCTACTCCAAGAACATGAAGGAGCATGTGGAGCATCTGCGAAAAGTCTTCGAGATCGTGCGGAAGAACGAGTTCTACATGAAGCTATCAAAGAGCGACTTCACCTTGAAGAAGGTGCAGTTTCTCGGGCACATGGTGAGTGCGGAGGGCATACACGTGGACCCGCGAAAGATCGAAGCCATCAAGAAGAGGAAAATACCGGAGAACGTGAAGGAGTTGCAGCAGTTCCTAGGCTTCGTGCCACAGTACGCTAAGATAGCAGCGCCAATGACGGACATTTTGGAAAAAGGATACGCCCTACAGATGGGATACTCCTCAACAGGAAGCCGTGAAGCAGCTACTGTCAGCACTGACTACAGCACTAGTACTCATCCTACCAGATATAGACAGAAACTATGTAGTGCAAACCCATCGCCTACCTCAGTAAGAAGCTACACGGAGCAGAACTGAATTACCCAATCCATAACTACGAAGCCTTAGCGATAGTCACAGCCTTCAAGGCGTGGAGGTGTTACCTAGAGGGAGCCAAGATGTGAGAGTACGACGACTTATGCTTGCTTTGCTACGCATTACTCACTTGCCTTTGCTTGATGATACTTTATCTAGCTTATAATTATTTTACCATGCATGCTTTTGCTTGATTTCCTAGGTTAGGTGGTTTCCAAAATTTTATTGTAGTTTAAGCACCGAACTAGGTTACGTGCATCGAATTCTAGGCTTTTTGGTTGCCAACGAAATGCCTACTACCGAATTCGGAAAGGCTCCATTCGGGACGCTTCGCGACCCTCGGAACCTTCGCGTAACACCTAGTTACAGACCCCTATGTCAAGACAATATATAGCCTCATGTTGTACACGGGTGAATCCATCAATTTATTTCTCATTTCTGAACTCGATCCTCGATCCTCACACTTGGTAATCAGAGCTCGTTTATGAGCGAAGTTCTTTCGACCGCTAAAAACTAGTCTTAAAAAACATCGGGGGTGACGAACAATAAACACCAACTTCGGGTATGTAAAACTGGTTCCGTATTTTTTTTTTCAGTCCCCCTCGATTTGGGTTTCCAGACGCGATGTCGGCAGGAATGGAGGGCCAAAGAGACAATTTCATACAGCAAGTCGCAAGCCTACACACCAAACTGGACCAAACGCGAGCGGCGCTCCAACAAATCGAAGCCCTCCTTGCGAACCAGTCTGCTGCCGCCGCGGCAACAGCGAACGCAACAGCGAATGCAGTAGTGACGGCAGCAGCAGCAGCGGCGACACCGACATTTTACGTAGCAGCAGTGGCGCCAGCTACAGCAAATCTCGAAGCAACTCCACCGAGGCTCCTAAAGGCATTCGATCTGAGCATGAAAGGATCGGACGCTCGACGATTTGTGGCGACACTCGAATTCGACTTGCAGCAACATTGTTGCAAGGCACGGTGCTCGAATAGGCTTACTACAGTGACGAAGTTTGAGGCGAGGGATCATTGGCACAAGTTCGGGCCTTAGCCTTAATCAGCCTTAAACCAATTAATTCTAGCTACATGGCGCGACAGCAAATTCATCGGCATATACAGTACGGTAGTGTAGCGCAGTAAACGCAGCAGAAGAACCTGCTCAACAGAATTCCGGACCTGACTAAAGGGGAAAAACCGCAAGCGTACACTGAGGGGCTAAGCATCAAAGTCCGCCGACAAGTGATAGCCGCAAACTACAGTAACTACTGCGACATGGTTTGTGACTACAGATTCGATGCGTTGACGCGAGGTCAACCTTGTCAAACACAGCTGTAGTGGCCCGCTACTCCTCACCCGCTTCTGCCACGCTAGGCCGCCTCACTCTCCCCTACCTGTTCCCCGACCTAGCCTCCTTTCACACTGTCGCAGACCTCATCACCCACCTTAAGACTAGTGAGGCTCGCTTTCGCGCTGCCATGCCTGACGAGTTCCTCGCTAGCAACCCCCCCCCGCTCTGGATCACTCTCTACCACGTTGTCACCCGCCTCCCTGACTCTCTGCGCCCTGTCAGGGACCAGTTCCTCTCTCGCTCCCCCACTGAGCTCACCGTAGACCTCCTCGAGAAGGAACTGCTTGCAGCCGAGGCTAGTATCGTCGCTGTAGGCACCTCTCGTGGCGACCCCCGCGGCCCCTTCTTCGAGGGGTGCTCCCCTTCCCCCCTCCTCCCCTCTGTCGCATCTGCTGCTGCTGTCGACCTCCTTGGTGCTGAGAAGGTCGGGGCTGCGTCTGCTTCAGGCGGACGACGCAGGGGCAGGAGTGGCAGGAGTGGGGGTGGTGGCGGAGGAGGCGGAGGTGGAGGTGGTGGCGGTGGAGGTGCGACTGGAGAGGCTAGTGGCGGCAGTGGTGGAGGTGACAGCGGCGTTGGGAGTGGTGACAGGGGCGGAGGTGGCAGCGGAGGCGGAGGTGGTCGTGGCAGCGGCAGGGGTGGAGGTGGCCGGGGCGGAGGCGGAGGGGGTGGTGGTCGTGGAGGCCCGGGGGGCGGTCAGAGTCAGCAGCCTGCCCCGACCCTTCAGGCCGCCCGTGAGTGGTATGCGCGGCGCAGCGTCACCTGCCAGTATGTTATTCGTACAGGTGACCGCACTGGCCAGACGTGTGGGGGGCCGCACCAGACGGAGCGCTGCTTCGCCCGCCTCAACGACGCGTGGCGCACCCAGTTTCCTGGTGGGGGTGAGCTGCCGCGCTGGGCTGAGCTGCTCAGGAAGGGTGTTGATATTTGGGCACTAGACTTTGATGCTATTCTCACTGCCATGTATGCGATGTCTATTAGTGGAGAGGGTGCTCAGTACTTGCGTGTTCCGCCCGACCCGGGCATTCAGGCCAGCCCCGCTGCTGCTCTAGGTGCTAGTGTGTCTGCTTCCACAGGTACTACTGCAGCTGCTGCTCTAGGTGCTTGTGCGTCTGTGCCCCCTGGTACTGAGTCGACTGCAGCACTGCACACCTTCACACTGGACTCAGGTGCTTCTCGCTCCTTCTTTCGTGACCGCACTGTCCTTGAGCCTCTAGCTCGGCCGGTTGCTGTCTCTCTTGCTGACCCCTCTGGGGGTCCGGTCCTTGCGACCTCCTCCACCACCCTTCCGTGTCCAGCGGTTCCGTCCGGCACGCTCTCAGGTCTCTACCTCCCCTCGTTCTCCACGAACTTGGTGGCAGGTAGTGCGCTCCAGGACAGGGGTGTTCACCAGTTCACCCCTGCCTACGAGCGTGTGACTCACTGCACGTGTGCTCGGACGGGCCGCCACCTAGCTACTTTCACTCGAGAGCCGGGGTCTGACCTGTACACACTGACCACTGAGTCCCCTCAGGTAGCTGCGTCTGCGTCAGCGTCAGGTCAGCTGTCCGCCCCCTGCTCGTGTCGCTCTCTGGCGAACGACACCGTCCTCTGGCACCACCGCCTTGGTCACCCGTCTGTGCAGCGCCTGCGGGCCATGCACAAACGGGACCTTGTTGCTGGTCTTCCCAGGGTGCTCCCTCCCCTTCCTGACTCCCCTGCTCCTGACTGCATTCCCTATGTCGAGGGGCGGCAGCGCGCCGCTCCTCACTCCTCCTCCTTTCCCCCGACGACCGCTCCCCTGCAGACGCTCCACATGGACGTGTGGGGCCCAGCCCGCGTCCGTGGTCAGGGTCAGGAGAGGTACTTCCTGATAGTTGTTGACGACTACTCGCGCTACACCACGGTCTTCCCCTTGCGCGCCAAGGGTGACGTCCCTGGTGTTTTGATCCCCTGGATCAGCCGAGCCCGTCTCCAGCTAGGCGAGCGCTTTCACTCGGACTTTCCTGTCCTGCGCTTGCACTCTGACAGAGGTGGTGAGTTTGCCTCCGACCTCTTGGCAGCCTACTGTGCTGAGCACGGCATTGAGCAGTCGTACACGCTTCCGGCCTCTCCACAGCAGAATGGGGTTGCTGAGCGCCGCATTGGCTTAGTCATGGAGGTCGCTCGTACCTCCCTGACCCATGCGGCTGCTCCCCACTTTCTGTGGCCGTTTGCGGTCCGGTACGCTGCGCATCAGCTCAACCTCTGGCCCCGTGTCTCCTTGCCGGAGACTTCCCCGACTCTGCGGTGGACGGGAGAGGTTGGCGATGCGTCGCGTTTCCGGGTGTGGGGATCCCGAGCTTTTGTCCGCGACACGTCTGTGGACAAGCTCTCCCGTCGCGCTCTTCCCTGTGTCTTCCTTGGCTTTGTTCCCGACGCGCCTGGATGGCAGTTTTACCACGTCACCTCGCGCCGGGTTCTGGCCTCTCAGGACGTCACTTTTGACGAGTCCGTCCCCTTCTACCGCCTCTTCCCCTACCGCACTGCCCCCCTCCCCCCTCCGCCGCTCTTCCTCGCTCCAGGTGCTGAGGTACCCGACCCCCTCCCCCCTCAGGGTGCCGCTCCCTCAGGTGTGTCCCAGGTAGACCCGGGTGAGCCTGTCGAGGTAGCTGTTGACTCGCGTCCTGCGTCTGGGGGTGCTGAGCCTGGGAGTGCTGAGTCTGGGGGTGCTGGGCCTGGAGGTGCGGAGCCTGGGGGTGCTGAGCCTGGGGGTACGGAGCCTGGGGGTGCTGAGCCTGGGGGTGCGGAGCCTGGGGGTGCGGAGCCTGGAGGTGCTGAGTCTGGGGGTGCTACGTCTGGGGGTGCTGAGCCTGAGCGTGCTACGCCTGGAGGAGCCCTCTCCTCCCAGCAGCTGCAGGAGAGGTACCTCGAGTACTGCCGCCTCCGGAGAGGTGCTGCTGGAGCTCGTCCCGGTACTTCCCCTCCTTCCCAGGAGCTCCCCCCCATTCAGGTGATTCGAGAGTGGTACACACGGCGCTGCAGTCTTCGGAGTGGTCCTCCTGGCGCTGCGGACCCGGGCGTTGGAGCTGCTACAGGTGCTGAGGACCCGGACGTTGGAGCTGCTCCTGGTGCTGCGGACCCGACTGGTGGCGCTGCTGCTGGTACAGAGGACTCGGACGTTGGAGCTGCTGCTGGAGCTGAGGACCCGAGCGGTGGCGCTGCTGCTGCTGCTGCTGAGGACTCGGGCGTTGGAGCTGCTACTGGTGCTGAGGACCCGGGCGTTGGAGCTGCTACTGGTGCTGCGGACCCGACTGGTGGCGCTGCTGCTGGTGCTGAGGACCCGACCGGTGACGCTGCTGCTGGTGCTGCGGACCAGGGCGTTGGAGCTACTGCTGGTACTGAGGACTCGGGTGTTGGAGCTACTGCTGGTGCTGAGGACTTGGGCGCTGGGGCTGCCGCTGGTGTCCCTGCTGCTTCTGGAGACGCTGCGCGGCCGCGACCGTACTTCGTCCCGCTCCTTCAGCAGGTTCTTGGTCAGGCTCCTCCTCCTGGTCCTCCTCCCTCCGTCGAGGGTCCTCTACCT